GCGCGTGGTGCCAGGGCTCGCCCGCACCCTGGTGCAGGTGGCTGTGCAGCGCGGCCGGCGCGTAGGGGTCGCCGGCGGCGAAAGGCAGCTCCGAGTGCGCGGCGGCCAGCGGGCTGCCCAGGGGCGCGGGCATCGGCGCTTGGTACGCGCTGTTCCAGAAGGAGGCGGGGAAGCTGCGCTGGCTCATCGGGAAGGAGCCGTCTGCAGGCCGGCCAGGCGGAGGGGAGGAAAGGAAGAGAGGAGCGTGTCACCTCAGGGAGACGCGGGTGCGCACCCCGCACGACAGAAGGGCTGAACGCGCCGGACGGGCAAGGGCGGGAAAGCCGCGGCGGGGAGCGGACGGGCAGCCTGGCCTCTGGGGCGGCGCCTTTCTAAGGGGGCTGCAGCCTGTGAATGCGAGGTCGAGGCACAGCAAAATGGGGGCACCCCTTGGGGAGGAGGGCCGCTTTCTCGGATTTTGTAAATGCGTCTCCAATGCGGAAACCCAGAGACAGACTGGGAGAGGAAGAGCGGAGAGACACTTCAGCTCCAGCCCCAGTTTTGGGGGCGCGGGGGAGCTTCCCCCGACTCCAGGCCGAGCTGCCTCGGGCCTCCCTTTCTCAGCCCGCAGCCTCTCGTCAAGCTAAAGATGTCTCTGCCCACTCTTGGTCGGCCGCCTAGCGATCTCACTACCCCCTCTCGCGTTTCAGCCTTCCTTGCTCCAGAAAATGCACCCCTCCAAGGCCTCTGATAGACTGGAAGTCCATCGACATATTTCGAAGTCTTGCTATTATTAGCCTCCTTTCTAGAAACCTTTCAAATATATTTTTTTCCAGAACTCAAGCAAAAGAGCAAACTAGACATATTCAAAGGGCAGCTGTATTATTTACCTAGGACACTAAGGGACAGGTCTTTTAAGTTGTAATTAATAAAATTTCTGCACCAAAGTGTGGATGCCAGGCATAACAATTATTACTGTATCACTGTTGACCCCTAGTGCCTGGAAGCCTTTTAAGTGAACAGCATTTAGATCAAATTTGTTGCCTTCAGTGGGGAGGGAGAGAAAGACAGACATTTAATTCAAGGGACGTTTATTGAGCACCTCCTCTGGGGAAGGTATCTGCACCACATACTAGAGAATTAAAAACGTTTTGACAATGAATTCTAAGTAGTGAACTGTCTTCCTGTTAAAATATGTAGGCAACTGGAGAATAAAAAGAAGGTTCTGTATTCAAAACTAATGTTTTTGGCTCTTGTCTAGGCATGGCTTGTAAAAACTGTCAGACTCTCAGGAAAAAATGGGTAGGTGAGGGTTGTCATGTCCCTCCAAATGTAATATTTGTTTTCTGTTTTATAACAAAGTCCTCATTTCTCAGCTTGGTACACATCAAAAACTAAGTTTAGTGAGAAAGTGTACCAAACAGTTACCCCCACTTTGTCTAGGAAATAAAGGGAGGTTGAGATTTTAGAATAGAAGGGAGATTTAGACTTGTCCAAGAAATCATTGTCCAGGGCTAGGAAAAGCAGTGTTTTGTGGGAAGAGTAGAACAATACAGAGGGGATGTGTTTAAGGAAAACTCTTAGAGATGTCTCAGCTGTGCCTAAATTCTTATTTCTTTGTTACTTTAGTTGCTTATTGAAAGACATTTTCTGCTTCAAGATTTCCCAAGTAATTGAAACCTGGCAACAGGCATAGGTACGTTTTAGGAGACATTCTTCAGCAGGTTTTGCTTGCAGTGGGGTCTAGGACTTTTTCCTCTGGGCAACTTTTCAGAAACTGGGGAAGGAGGGCACCTTAAGTTGTAGGTGAAGATCCTCCTTCCCCGCTGGCTTGGGAGACTATTGGAAACCTCACATTTCCACAGCACATTTACATACATTTTTCTGTTTGTCTTACAGTCATCTCTAGGAATAGTTAAGAAGGCAAGTATTATTTTAATTTTAGAGACCAGTAAATAGAGTGACCTCAAGGAGGTTAAGAGACCTGCCCAAGGTCATATTGCTAGGAAGTGGTGGAGCCGCCCCGCACACCCAGGCCTCCCAATTCCAAGCTAGGTCACTGCTCTGCTCTGCTCTGTCTCTTCAAGGAGCAATCTTATGCCTGTACCTATTGCTTTGCCCTCCCCTCCTCACCTCTTCTCTGACACCTAGTATTCTTTCAGCAGCATCTCCTTGAGCCCCTGTAGGAGGACCCCAGACTGAAAGGGCTCACTATCTGCCCTTGCCAGTGGGGCCCCAAACTCACCCCGCCAGGGCCCAGAGCTCCTCGGTGTTTTGCTGTTTGTACAGCTTGGGGAATAACTGCTAGGCTGGCTCAGGGCCCGGCTGAAGTGCTCGTCCACCACGGAACTGATGTCCCCCTGGAAATAGGTGAAGAGGACGCAGCGGGAGTTGATGTACTCCGCCTCTGGTGGGCGCTCTTTCTCCGGGCTGCCTTCTTCCTCTTTTATACTGGCCGGAGTTTGGCTGGAAAAGGAGCTGCCGCTGCCGCTGCTGTTGGTGGGGCTGGTGTTGCACTCCTGGGCTTCCTGCATTTTGGAGTAATAGGCTAGTTTCTGCTCAAAGAGAGAAAGAATAGTCAATTTCAAAAGAGATGGCATATTGGTTTCAGACTGCACTCCCTCATCTGGATCCCTAAGGTATCCACGGGGCAACTGGCTTTGGTGCCTAAGCCCTGTGCTCAGGAACATGGGCTGCACAGTCAGTGGCCCCCCTAACCTGCAGCCAAACAACAGTGGGCTTCCTGAGAGGCAGATTGCCCTTCTTGGTGCCTCTGTCTCCCCAGAATTGCTGCCACGCCACGGGAAAGCTCTCAGAAGGTGTCAGGGTGAAGGTCCTGGGAGATGGCTAAGCAGCCAGGTTATGAGCTGAGTTTGACCGCAGAGCCAGGCTCAGGGCAGATATATTTTTAAAATCAGTCTCCAAGGGTAAAGGGCACCCAAGTTCTCCTAGGGCCTGACTGTTCTGTGCCAGAGACTCCAAAGCAGACTCACAAGACGCAGTATTAAGCATCCTCAGGATGAAACAGGAAAATACCAAAATCCACGTCCCACCACCAGGATGTAAAGGAAGAACTGCTGCAAAAGGTTTGAAATAGTTTCACTTAGGAAAGAATCATGTGGGGTAAAAATGTGGAATAACATCATGACATGGATCATTTTAATAAACACAAACTTGATATTTGTTTGATCACCCATAAACTGTCCATTTAAAAGTCTGTTTTTAAAGAGATCTTCTTGTGAGTGTGGAAAAACCAGTGGGCTATGAGCCTTTCTACCATCACCATCTCTATCAATATTGAGGAAACAAGTGATAAAAAGGAGAATAAGAAGATCTTGGCTATGAGGTTGGGTAAATCATGACTGTCTGATACTAATTTTAAAAACCAAGTGTAGCTGCTGAAAACATTTTCTTAGAAATGAGCAATGCACTGAAATGCTGTGTTAAAGCAGGAAAGATGGCCTCCAAGGGGGGCCTGATCATTCAGAAATAAACCAAGATCTTAATGCAATAGATTGGTCCAGGGTAAGGGAGGAGAAAGGACCAAACAGACAGAAAACCAAACCATCTCTCCTCTTTGCAATAGTCCCAGCCTGGGAGGGAGCTGGGCAGCCAGAAGACTTGAATTATTTAGCTATATCGCCACTTCTACCACATTCCCACTTGGTTTACAATGAGGGACTCAGGTAATTCCTAAAATTAACATTGAGATTAAACAAACTTCCGGTTGGAAAGTTTAAAAATGGAGAGGAGGAGGGAAAAAAAGCAAAACTCAAAACCTAACCATTCCATCACTAATTCATCAGGAAATTTTTAAATAGACATCTTGAATTTGCAAGCACAATTGGCAAAAGCACGGACTCAAGCGTCGGGATTTATTTCAATCTCCCCAAACCAGGAGTCCAGGCCCTCACTTTTGAACCTGCTCCGGACTCCTAAGGCCCTCAGGTGTGTTATCTTGTTCTTTTCCTGGACCACCATCCTCAGTTTCTACTACATCAGCTGAGGAAATGGAAAGAAAAATTGGTCGACCAGACGCAGCCCACAGAAAAGAGAAATTAGAATAATTAAAAGAAACTTGAAGCGTTTGCAGAATCAGGGTTACGTGGTCTTCTTAAAAGTGCGTTTATTGAAGGCAGGACAGCCCGATTCAGTTACTCAGGCTCGAGAAATGCGAAATATTATCTATGAAGCTCTGCTCTGCCGGGTCAATAGTACCCCAATAATACTCCCCAGAACTTTGCAAAGCAAAGATTATAAAACCAATGCGTTCGTGCGGTTCTCATTGAAACGAATTCTCTGGTTCTGGAATTAATTGGCCTAATCGCCTAAGAACTGAAACGGAAAAAGAATTACGCCTTCGATAAGCTTGCAGGGATGAGAACGCGGGTCTTCGCATCTCAGAGAGAGAGAGAGAGAGAGAGAGAGACAGGCCTTTGCTTCTGTATTGTTGTCACTCTCACCTGAGGGGCCTAAATTTGGTTGTCCCTGCGTGAGCTTTGCTCGCATCTCCCCGCACCCGTGCCGGGCTCGGAATAATCTGGAGTCAGACAGACCCTAAGAAAACGATCCAGCCCACGCGATCCTCGTCTGATTATTCCCAAGAAGAGCGGGGCACGCATTAGCCTGGCTTAGCTGCCTTCCCGGGAGAGCAAATGGGCGAGCTAAACGGGTTAGCTCAACCTACGGGGTGGCAGCGGCGGCAATCCCCGCATCCGGGCGGCGTCCGCCGCTGGTCGGACGACCGGGACCCGCGCGGAGGCGCCGCGGCCCTCGGGGCACAGGCTGTGCGCGGAGAAGCCGGGGCGCGCCACCCCTCTGCGAGGCCCCGGCCGAGAGGAGACACGTACCTGGTGGTAGGGGGTGTAGGCGGCTGCGAAGTAAGGCTGGGGAGGACCGTAGACTTGGTACATAACATCCAGACAGCTCATGGCTCCCCGCAGCGGAGACGGTTAAGTGTTTTATCATCAACTCTCGGTTGGCGGAGCGCAGGGATGCTGCATGGGCGGCGCTTGGACCCGAGCTCCGGAGTCATCCGCGGCGGAGCGAGGGGCAGCGTGCTCCGCGGCTCGGGATCCCGCTCGCACGCTCCCCTCCCACCCCTGCAGTTCCAATCCCGACCGCGCTCCGGGATAGAAGCGCCCGCGCTCCCGCTAGTGGGCATTTAAACCCCACGCCCGGCGGGCGTGCTGACGCCACTCCCGGGCCGCGGGGGGAGAGGGGAAGGGGGGGGGGAGACAGGGCGGTAGGAGGAGGGGGGAAGGAGAGGGATGGTGAGGGACGGTGGGGGGCGGAGACCGGGGGGAGGAGGCAATGAGGAGCATGGGACAAGGGCCCTAGGGGCTGCGGGTGTGTTTCCCCGGGCTCCCCTGCGGCGAGCTTGTGGCCAAGGATGCGGCGAACAGCGCAGCCCCGAGCTTGAGCCCTGAGGCTTCTCACCGTGAAGAGTAGGGATTTCCCAGGCTAAAGCAGGAGAGAAAGGGGGAGGAGGAGAATGGGGGCTCTAACACTTGGTGAGAGAAGGAAAGTTGATGCTTGGTGGGGAAAGGTCTTTGTGGGAGAGCCCCGGCCTCACACTGGGGTGTGCGTCGGGGCTGGTGAGGTGGGGCAGATTCTGTGCTCTCGACTCCTAGTGACGTGCCGGGAGAGACGGCGCTAGCCCCAGGAATCCCCTGGGAGCTCCGGGTCCTCGCAGACAGGATGTCAAAGGAGTCCGGGGACTCCTCCCGGGCGCGGAGGAGCTCCCTCTGCGGGGAAGTAGCAGTGGCTGAAGCCTGTGCCCGCTGCCCTGTTCCACCTCCTTTGCGCTTCCTCCCACCGGGTCCACCTGCCGCCAGCTCCCACACCTCAATTCCGCTCTCTGGGGCCCCTCCCTTCTGCCCCTCTAGGGGCAGATCTCTTTGATTTCCTCCACCCGAACCCGCTCGGTCCGCGTTGTTCGCGCCCCGCCTCTGGCTCCTCCCGGTGCGAGCTGCTTTCGAGGAGTCCAGGAGGCCTTACCCAGCCCCGGGCCGCCGCAGGTTTCCTCGGCTGGCCTCCTTTAAAATTTCAGTAACTTTTGGGGACAGGACTCGTTGGCTACAAGAGAAGTCATCCTAGGAACTGCAGGGAGGTCAGAGAGGGCTTTTGCTGCCTCAGCCCTTAATACAGCAGCTGCGATTTTCTGTTTCATTTTAGAGAGGTGAAAGAGGATGCACTTCAATGTGAAACATGCATCTCGGTTCTCTTTCCTGCCCTGAGAGCTCTCCAGTCTCAGACCCGCTTCCTGTGATCCTCTCCATCAACCCAGGAGTGTGGGGATGTAACAGCTAAGTCCTCTGTCCTGCGAGTTTAGGATGGGTCAGGTGGCGGAAGGGGCATTAGAGGAATAGTGGTGGGCCAGACTTGGGGGGCTGGGGTTGGGGCAGAGGTTGGGAGCATTGAGACCCCGGACCCAAGGAAGAGGCAGTGTGGATTACTGACGCAAGCGAACTCTAGTTATTCTCCGGTTCAAATCCAACAAGAAGTCTAACATCGATTCTCAGGCTATATAAGTGCGAACAAATGCACCCTTAAAGATATATTTGTTTTTAAAACTTGAGTATTTTAAGCCAAATTATTTTGAGGTTGAATTTTTGGTTTTGCCCGAATTATAAATGAGTAATGGCTCCATGTCTCCAATTCGGTTTATAAATAGTGAACTGTCCTGAGCGATTAGAGAGTTTCTTTAGTTAACTATGATGTAATTTGTTTTAAAGAAAATTAAAACAAACAAAAAAATAAAGCAACTCCTCAGTCCAGTTTTACGCAAGCCTCGTGTTAGGGGCCGGGCTGCCTTGTGGCTGAGCTCGGCAGGCTTCTGGAGCGTCCGACGGTCTAGGCGTACAGGTGAAGCAGAACATCCTTCCCATCCTACTCCAACTCTCCCGACCCAGGAGTTTTGGAGGAGGGCAACAACCGTCTATCTGTATTTCCTCCGGGGGCAAAAGAGTGAACCGTCACCCGAAGAGCAGCAACACGCCCTCTTGGATGTGGGAAGTGGGCGTTCAGGTGCCAGTCTCGCTCGCCCCCGCGGGGCACTCTAGATGTTGGGGGCCGCTCCGCCCCGCCCCGCACCAGACCCTGGGTCGGCCCAGCCCGCGCGCCGGTGTCAGATCTAAGGACACTGGAGGAACCGAGGTGCCCAAGCAGCCACCGCGCCCCGGACAGATCGCGGCCGGTAGGCGCGACCCCCGCAGGTCACACACCTCCCTTTCGCGCAGGTCCCGCTGTGCATCCTTGGACACAGAGGTTCTACTTTGGCTGCCTCCAGTTAGGGTAACTCCGGGCCGGAGCATCTGTCGCTGGAGCATCTGTCGCCGAGCGCGCTCCTTCCCGCGCAGCCCAGGCTCCTGCGTGACAGGTGGTCCGCAATACAGCGTGGAGAAAGCCACAGAGGCAACGCCGGATCGCACGTCTAGCCAATGCTCGGAAGCTTGACCCTCGTCCTCGCTCACCTCCCAGTAGCCACCTCCTATCCCCTGTACTCGCTCACTTCCACATTTTTATTTGACTTTGGCGGTAAGACTAGAAGAACTTTGATTTTCCCACAAATTCAGAAGAAAATAACGACAACTTCTAGAATCAAACAAGGCCCAGCAAAATGTTAATAATTTTTGAAAAGGATTTATAGGAGCAGCGATTTCCCACATTTTGAACGAAGAAAATGAAAAGAATGTGGTGCCAGTGCCTAAGGCTGCTTTCTGTCCACAGTCTCCATCTCCTCTTACTTGAAACTGTTAAACCTCGATGAAGCTCGGTAAGGGTACTCGCTGCAGAGGAATTTAAAGGAACATAGGGAATTGGGCCAGTGAGCATCAATCTTGGATTTAGGCAGGAAAACAATCCCCTCTCGCCCCAAATCTAAGGCGAAGGAAGAAAAATAAACAGTCAGCAGTTTTAAAATACTGACCAAAGATTGGAGCAAGTTCAGTCTTTTCTGTACATCTGAAAAGCTGTCATTTACACGAAGGTGGTATTTCTCAATCTGATGAGATAGCCTCTTGTTTCTATGCTGAAGTGGAAAGTAAAACACAACTAAATTTAAACCCTTTGACTCTGCCATCTATTCAAACCAAGAGGACATTGACACGTGAAAGAAGACAGGTTTTAATTCAGAGCCTTGGGAACAGGCTATACAGGATGAAGGAGAAAACTGGGGGAAAAGTCTCTCATCTCCCCCCTTTCTCTCCCTCTTTCCCAGTTATTTTGGAAAAGATTGAAGACCAAGCAGTTAAATGTCCTGGATCTTGGGTCTTTCGGACAAATGCATCTAGACCCCTGGAAAGACCAACTGTTACCGATTTCATCTAATCTAATTGCATTTTAACTTCCTAATTGGGCAGAGGGAATATCAAATCTTGTTTAGAAATGGATTCCACTTTATGAGAGCTTCATGGCAATTTACTTAGCTGCCAGGAGGAGTTTGCCATATGAAAATAAAGTAAATTCTACCAAAGTTTTCTTTTAGTACCTTAGTTCTAGTGTGCAATTCTAGCAATATCTAGAACTGTGAAAATAAAGGGTGCCTTTATTCTTTTTGAAATGAATACGTTTCAAGATAACATCACAATTAAATACTGTATTTTCTCTTCAAAAGGATTGCCTCTCATTTTTTCTAAGCTAACTGACTTCATTATGTTCTGAGTTCTTCTGTCCACCTATGTCATCTCCTGAAAACTGCGAAGAAGCGGCTTTACAGGAAGGATATATGAATAGAACTAATTTGGAGAACTGATCTGCAGCCAGCCTAGGTCCTCCCTAGCCCAAGATTCGTTTAGATCATTGATTGTTGACATTTTATGTTGCCTTATGCTGCCAGCCAAAGAGGCTGAGCAAAATGGTAATCTCATAGCTTTTTTTTTGACTCCTAAAATCACCCTTGCCTATTTTGCAGCGCAGAGATGTGTTTGGAATTTGGAGAGAAGCTGACCAGATTTTGTGGATTCAAACTATTAATAGTATTAGTTGACAACATGTCTGCAAAAGCCAGGTTTTTCAGGCACAGTGTGTCATTTAGCAATGATACTCTAGTAATTAATGGAGAGTCCAAATGGTGATTTTATTTTAAAGAAATAAAGAAAAAAAAGAGAGATTCATGTCCTCTGAAAACTTACTAAAAAGCTAAGTGGAGGAATTTCAGTTTGACTTAGTGAAAAACAAAGAAAAAGAGTTCGATTATTTTAATATAAACTTAGAGTGGCTTTTAATGTTTTCAAGTAAAATCCTCCATGATCTGTGCTAATGAATAGATGAGACTACTTTGTAATTATTGACATATATTTAATTATTATAAGAACGCTAAACATTTCCTCTTTCATATTTTAAAGACTGTTTTCATGTTATGTACAAGTCAACTTTAGCTTAGGTGAAATAATCACAACTTTCTGAATTTACTTTTCTCTTGAATTCATGTTAATGTCTAGTTCTAAGATTGAGCAATATATTTAATACCATATTCATCTTTCAGAAATGAGGTCTTTTTAATGAGTCTCTATGAAATACTTAGTACGAAGATATTAGTACACAAATTCAATTCAGATGAACCTTTAAAAATGATAACATACAAATGGCAAAAAGAGAAATTTGGAATAGATGTATGTAAAATATTTTGGCTTGTTACATTTTTACAAGAGAGGAAAAGTTAGAAGGAAATTTACGTTCTTTTCTATTTACTTGGACACAAAGAGTTAAGTCAGAGAGCATGTATCAATTATTTCTTAATATGAAGTAGTTTTTCCTCTTTACTTGGTTGGAAAAGTCACTCTAATTGCCTTTGGTTTCTGACCATAGTGAAAAAATTTTGTTTTTCTCTAAAAACACACCGTTTGGAGATAACAGCCTAGAAACTAACATATCTGTGAAACTCCTTTTGTAAGATACAGGGACATAGAGGAATTTGCAGATTCGGAATGTGGACGTAGACCGAAGGATTTAAATTGTTGACTTAGATATTTGACTGTATTCGTGTTGATCCATTCCCAAACTTCTGTTTATAAACTTCATTTCAGCAAGACGCTAAAGGGATTAAGAGGAGACCACAGCAATAACAGACCGAGGTGAAGATATCCATCTGAGTGTATGATGTCCTGTCACGTGCTTCAAGAAATCTGGAAACAGCTTCTTACAAACTCA